CTGGTGATGCAGTTAAATCTGTGACACAATCGGAAATAGATAATGTTCCTCTTAGTACTATAAGAATAGCGTTCATGGATTTTTTTACACAAATAAGATAACTTGGATCATACGTATTTGCAGATGCGTTGTATTCAACAACCTCTTCTTTTTTAGTTTTTGTATGATTAAGAAAGACTGTTAAATTAAATTCTTCTGTTTTAAATTCTACATTTTCTACAAGATCTTTTGGCTTTAATCCCATTACTCCGTAAATTCCAATAGTGTATCGAGTTATTTCAAAAAGTCTTTTTAAGTGTTCTTCACTTAAGGCTCTATACATTAATAACTTTGAATAATTATTATTATAAGAAAAACTTTAAAGTAGCAAACATTGGCTGTGGTTCTAGTCTGGCTGACTCTACCCCTTGATGAATCAGATAAATCTTGTCTAACAATGGAATATCTAAGACATAGATATACAAAGTTCCAGCTATTGCGTCAACAGTATTAAAGTCATTCATCTGCTTCTTAAACATATCATAAATCTGATATAAAGCAGAGTGAGTATCACTAGATAAGTACTTCCGTGCTGTTTCATCTAGTGATTTTTTTAACCAGGCCTTTAATGAAGCTAACTTTCCATTTTGATTTTGTGGTATATTTTCATCTATTTCTGAGATTGCGTCATTTGGAATTATAATTTCAATTTGTTCTTCTTCAATAGCCATTTTTATTGTATTTATTAGTACTTTTAACAGAAATGAAAATGACTATTATAACCATCTTTTTCAAGATAGAAAGAAGAAGAAAGAAGAAATTATTACATTTCTTTAAAGAAAAATAGGTTTTTTCTTTGCCAAACATTATCTAACTATTTTTCATTTAGACCTATTATAAATAATTTGAAAGGATTATATCTTTTTATTTATTCTCAAAAATAAAAAATCAACACAAAGCCCACTCAATTTATTCAGCCTTTGGAGCCTTCTTAGCAATTTCAACGACATGAATATCCTTTGGAATAGCTTTCTTGAGTTCTTCAGCTTTAGCTTTATCGGCACAGATATAAGTGTAAAGGTATTTGGCACATCTAACCTTGAACTTAGTGTTTTCACCGTTGGTCTTGACACGAACGGCACGAATTGAACCTGATTTCAAAAGTTTCAAAATTTGTTTGAATTCTTGAACTTGTTTTGGCTAAATGTTGTTAGTTGTATTTGTTGTTTTTTTCTTTTAATAATAACAGTTAGTTGAATGAAACAAACCATTGTGCTGATATTCTTTCTTAGTTCACTAATAGGGTTTTTTAAATATTTCAAAATAATTAATAAATTTTTATAGTTATTTTATTATATTTATAGTTTATTATTGTTTGTTATCATATGATTGTTTTATGTTTAAATTATTTTGTAATATATAACAAAAAAATATTTGAAATTATCCAATCATCTGTTTTTATTTTTATTAATCCTCTTTTGTTCATTGTTCTAATACTAAATTTAATCAAATAGAATATTTCAAGAAGAAGTATTCATATAACAAAAATTAAACAACAACACAATAAAATTAAAGTTATTGTAAAGAGTTTTAATATCACTTTTTTTGTTTAGATGACATAACCTGTTTTTTTTAAAAAAAAAAGATCAAAAACAGAGTAGATAATCATATAGTTCAATCATTGTGTATCTTTTTGAATTATTCATGTGATAATAAATGTTATTTAATGAGATAAAAAAAATTAAATTGAGAATGACTGAAACATTCTTATTTATCAAAAAATGATATAATTATCATATTGAAATTGAAAAATAATAAATAAGGGAGTTTAGAAAAGAATTAAATATATAACTATTGTTATTGTAATTTTAAACAATATTTAATAACTTAATGAGATAGTTAATATAATATTTAATAATACACTAAAGAGACTACTTTTTAGTAAATACAAAAATGAGGTAATAATTATAGATAGTTATAAACATGAACCTATTTTTGATAAAATTAGTATATAAAATATTGATTTTATATAACTGTAAAATTAAATATTAATTTAATGTAAAAATAAGAATTATTTATGATGTAATACTCTCAAGAACATTAAAATTATACGTAAATATTTATTTAAATATTTAATTTATATTAAAATCAATATAACTATTAAATATTAAGAATTTAAAAACTTGGTAAAATATAGATTAGATTTAATTCTTAATAATAATATATAAATAAATGTTAATAAATAAAATTAAATATTAAATATTTGCTTAAAAGATATTTTTTTAATACAATACATTGATATATATTTCTTTTATCATCTTGTTATTTGTTTTCTCTTTTATAAAAATATTTTTTTAAAGATCTCAGTTATAATATTTATTTTATTAATAAATATATATACATGTTATTAGTGATATATTTCTTTTTTATTTTACTTATTTTTGTTGATTGTTTAATAATATAAATTAAAATATTATTTATTCTTATTTTATTTTTTCAAGACTTAGTATTGTAATATTTTACTCTTTATCTATTTTTTATTTATTTACATATAATAGATGTACTATATTAAACTACTGTTTTCAGGTTATAATATTTTGTATAAAATTATGAGATTTTATGACAAAAGAAACTTTATTCAATCTTAATAATTATTTCTTGAAAAAAATTAAATTTAATGATTAATTCCAAATTAATGAAAAATTATATTCTTAAAATAAATGAAACGATAGTTATTTCATAACACTATAACTTTACTCTTCTTTATCTATCTCATAGTTGTTGTAATATTTTATATTTTTCATTTATTTTATTTTTATAGATAAGGTATTATCAATTATATTATTTTTGATGGGTTCTGTTATTGTCAATATAAAATAATAACAATTTAAAACTATAATACAATTTAAGAATATAAAGAAAGAAAGAGAAATAAATAATGATAGAAATTATAAGTAGTATAAATATAAAAATAAAAAATGAAATAATTAATAATATAAGGTAATATTATTAAATTAATAATAATATATAAACTAATCAATTAATGTTGAAATAAGAATTTATGTATATATAATTTAATATGAATGGTAAAATGAATGATAATTAACCGAAATTAAAAATATAATAAAACAATAAAAGATAAAATATGAAATAATAAATAATTATATTCTAAAATATAGAATAGATTCAAATATAAAAAATTAGATTAATTTAAATATTAATAAAAATAAGATAATATAAATAAAAGATAATATTATAATTTTGATAAAATAAGAAGAATTAAAAAGTACAAGATCTATAAATTAAACAAAATAATAATCATATCATTTATTAAATCAATTTAACAATAAGAATAATATTAAAATATTAATAATCAAAATTCAAGAAATGATAAATACAATTATAATATTTTAATATTTTTTTGATTAATTAAAAAATGAGTTAATTTCAATTATTTACTTATTAAAATTATAATACATAATATTAAAAACAAAAGTTCAATCAATAGATATATTCATAATTAGAAATTCATCATATTGAGAAGTGATTAGTTCAATTAGTTCAATAATCTATACTTCTACAATAGAGACCATTTCTAACATGGATGTATAGAAGGATCCTCTTTTAATGTGCTACCAGTTATGTTATCTTAAAAATAAAATAAAAATTAATAAATTTTCTTCAAATTATTTAAAAAAAAAAAAAAATAAATAAAAAAAAAAAAAAATAAATAAAAAAAAAATAAATAAATAAAAGATGCACTACCCGGGAATCGAACCCGGATCTCCACCTTGGGAGGGTGGAATTCTACCATTAGACCAGTAGTGCTTCTTAATATATTCTTTTTTTATTTATTAATATTCATTATATTAATATTTACATTAATAAAATATATAAAATCATTCATAAACACAAAATACTTACAATCTAATATGTTTGTCTTATTAGTAAAATCTTTTCATATGATAAACAATAACTGAAATAACATAA